CAAGGCGATAGACTCGAAATCGATTGGGGTAAACCCGCGTGAGCTCAAGTCTCACAGCTGTCGCTATCTTTACGTATATGTGACATGCTACTGTCTGGTAAAGCTTCACGTTGATGATTATGGTCATTTTGGCCATTATGAAGGGTTGATTCGGTGGGTAAATGATGTACTGTTGTGCGGCAGTGTGTGTGGTCGATGGGATGCTAAGACAGCTTGGCCGAGCGGTCAAGGCGATAGACTCGAAATCGATTGGGGTAAACCCGCGTGAGCTCAAGTCTCACAGCTGTCGCTATCTTTACGTATATGTGACATGCTACTGTCTGGTAAAGCTTCACGTTGATGATTATGGTCATTTTGGCCATTATAAAGGGTTGATTCGGTGGGTAAATGATGTACTGTTGTGCGGCAGTGTGTGTGGTCGATGGGATGCTAAGACAGCTTGGCCGAGCGGTTAAGGCGATAGACTCGAAATCTATTGGGGTAAACCCGCGTGAGTTAAAGTCTCACAGCTGTCGCTATCTTTACGTATATGTGACATGCTACTGTCTTAATGATCACAAAAAGTCTAAAGCAGCAGCTCCAAGTTGCATTTGAAATGGCGTTGGATGCGTGTTGGAAACTTGTGCGCTTACTTGAAGCAGTAGAAGCGTTGGTAACAAAGGCAATGGCTTTACTGCACTACTTTCTGGCCTCAAACGAGGAACAGAGACATTTGCCCTTGTAAATCTTCTTATGCTGCCGTCACCTTTACGCCACATCCACGATAAAGCGCTTTTGGTTATGATGGCAACGGTGGCTCCAAGATTCGATAATTAATTGCGATGCGCTTGCCTAAGCCCGTGCCGCCACCAGTGACTAGCGCTACTGTGACCTCGAAGATGCCGCGGGTCAACATGGTGCTTTTTGCGGGTGCCGTCCGGGGTCTCGCTGTGCTCTGTTCACAAAAGAGAGAAAATCGCAGTTGTGACAACGAACATACGCCCTGGTTCCACATTTTGGACGACAAGTTAAAAATGAGGGAAGATCCATGCTTTTATAAAAAGGCATATGATTGGTAAAAATAGGGATCTGTATCGACCAATCGTCGAGTGCTAACATTGCGACCAAACGATGATGAGCGGGCAATTGCGGTGTGCTCAGTATTTGACGGACGCCGTTATAGCACGCTCAGAACTCGTTGTTTTCAAACACTGTAAAGGGTACTTTTCTAGCTTTAGGTGGTTCATTTTCGTGCAATAGACGACGATTTTCCACCTCTGACACGGCTCCTCAGCGCTCGAAGCTGACAATGACCATGGACAACTCACAGGTGCGGCTACGAAGAAGTATTCAATTGACTTGAATGTTCAAATGAGGCATTTTTGACTACAAAAGCTGCATGTCGTCCTAGCAGCTCTTGAGATGGTTCATACAACCACAGGGGGCTACACTGTTGGTACGAGCTGATGCAGTTGGGGACGAAGGTGAAATGTCTTGACCGTTCCTCTGTCTGGTGATGTTTTAGCTCTCAGATGCGCTGCTATCTTCCGTTCTACGTGTATCTGATCCGGGCGACACAAAGGTACGGTTTTCGATTTGTTCTCGAGTGAAGGCACTACTGGCGCTGATAGCCTTGTTCTTGGTGAGCTCAGGGTTGATGAAGGAAAGTTCTGACTTCAGAAAGCTGCACTCGTTGTACAGTACTGCGCACATTTACGTAGGAAGGCATTGAATGGATTCGTGGTTGCTGCAGGTGGGTTTACTAAACTTCTGTTTGTTTGGTTGTGTAGCCGACATCTGACGGCATGCTGCTTGGGCGACAAGGTGTTTGTGCGGTCCTAAAAAGTACAATCGCGTCCCATGTATCTGATTAAAACAGATTTAAAGCGATATATAGTGGATTCTGTCATTTCTGCGACTTTGGCAATGACACTGATGCTGTCGTTTGTGGTATAACAAATCCATCACAGATATTTTTCGTGGCTTTTTATCTTGGCTTAACGTCTATTGCTATTTGATACGTCGATGGTGGCGCTGTATAGCACATTAATTGACTGTGGACCCAAAGCCGATAGAGTGACACATCTTCAATTGGAAGGCAAGAAAGCTTATCTGAAACAATCTACAGCTTCATTTTATAATATACAATACTACAATAAAGAACAAACTTTGGTCCTTCCTTGTCCACTCTGCCAACACGCAGCCTTGCTTTGACAACAGTCTCCTTTTGTAGCAATTCAAATAGGTGACACAATTTTCATGATTCGATAAGCTCCACATAAAACTCTCCATTCCGCCATAAACGGCCATGCTCCTGCCTTTTCGATGTTTCTCATCGTCATAATCCTTGTAACAACTCTTCCTTGCTGTTGTTGCTGTGCATCTGCGCGGTGAATCATAATTCCAATGTGTCAGAACTACGGTTTCTAGTAGAGAACACTACGTTTTGATAAGGTGCAAACGTTATTTGTGGGAAAGCACGTTATACGCTTCAGTTTTCGGCTGCAGCGTATAGCTTTCCTACTGTTTTTTGCTTTTTGCTCTTTTAACCGTGTCATCAGTGTCTGACAGTACCTAAATCCTTTGCACCCGGTCCGCCAGGACATCTACGCATTGTTAACGCAAAACTTGATCGTCTTACCTGCTTGCAAACCAGTGCTTTGCGCTAGAATTTCGACATGGTGAAATTCCTTCCGACATTTGCGACTGTCACGCGCATACCACCACGGGCAAGTATACCGCAAAGAGCTGCCACCTTAATTGCTTTACAACCTGTAGACCTCCATTCCACCATATATGTCAGCAAACACATTATTCTGTCAACCTTGCGTTTCAAGCTCAACTACTCACGAATAAGTGCAGTGGGCTTTTAAGCTCACGGTTTCAGTAATCTTTTGCTTGCGCATTAGCTATCCAACCTTTGAGTTGGTCCAAGTGTCGAATACTTTAGTGTAAACCGTAA